CCACCTTACTGCCACCCGTTAATATGATCACCTCGTTGTTATGCACAGCATGAAAATATAGACATGCACGGAGAATAAGATTGGCTTGAATCTCCTTCAAGTTGGTTATTCAACTTTACGATATAACTTAAATGTTGTTAAAGATATTAAAGCCGACAATTACGCTACCGTGCGCGAAGTTGAAGTCAACTTGGCGCGAAGTTGGTTCATAACGAACCTTAAGCCAAGAGGTTGAAGTTCGGATAATGTGGATAAATCAGGGTAGCTTGTGAAAAGGTCAGTTTTGAACGCTGCTTGAATTAGAAATTTGACGACAGCTGTACACAAGTTTTACAAAGTTGCTTTAGCGGCCACATTATTTTGACCTAAACAAAAGCTAAGTCGTTTATTTTATAATTTGTGTAGCCGGATTAACGGGGTTGCACTGAATACATTGGCAGAATTTACGTATAAAGAGCAAATAATGAGATAGTACTGAAGAGTTATACAAGTCTTGATACCGTATGATATCTTCTCCAGCCATTTCCGTAAAGCATTTCACATTGCGTGTTGCCATCCGCATAAGTGCCGGGAAGTTTGTCGCGGAAGCGTGCAGGAAGTGCGGGATGGTCACCAACAGGAGCATCATCTAAACACGCTGATCTAGCACTGCGGAAAGAACACGGTGTTGAACACGCCACGTTTGATATATCAAAATTCTAAAATGGCTCTGAGGCTTTCAGGACAAAATTGCAAATTTGTGATCAAGTTTCCTTCGCCTCTTAATTCCCAAAATAGATTTGGACATAAAGCAAACACCATCCAATATAGAAGTTTGCTCTGAAAGCCTCGGGGCCATGTAAGAATAATTTCACATAAATGAGTAAACAAACAAATTAATTAATTAACAATTACACAAACAAGATATTAAATAAATACAAATTAAACAATTAGATAATTCGTACAGCTCGAAAATAAGGCCTTTTCTTCTAATATTCAGTGGAAATTCTTCTCGTGTGACTTTTATTAAAACAGCAAATTTTTGTTTGGTTTAAAGCGCCATGGACAATTAGTGGAAAATGGCGCTATATAAATGTATATTTATTTTATTTCATTTATTTTTATTTTTTAATTTGGTTGAAAATTAGTCGATAAAGTAGCAATTATGTGCAACGTGCCCATACAGTCTCAGTCAAAGTGTTCCCATATATGTTCTGCAATTAAACAATTCATTCGTGTATTAGAGCTATGAATTTCATCTTTGTATCATTGAATTTAAACCAACCATTTGGTTTTTGGATTGAATCATTTACATCGAGGGATTGACAATTTTCTAAAGCATCTCCATGCATAATTGTTTACTAGTCAATAATTGCGTCACGCCTTCATGCGACGCTACGATAACTCAGTTGGTAGGAGGCTGGAGTGCTGGCCGTGCTGTTTAATTTGTATTTATTTGATATCTTGTTTGTGTAATTGTTAGTAATGGTAATAGGACTGAGTGGAGTCCAATTCGATCTGTTATCATAAGAGTAATGAGAACAAAATCGGACGACCGCGCAGCAGGAGTTCGATTTGTTTATCACGAGTATGATTACAGACCGAATTGGACGACACGAAGTCTTATTACCAATTTATCATAAAAATTACACTTTCCGAGAAAAGTAGAATAGCCAAGTTATGCAAAGGGGATGTAAACATTCTAAGGCCACCGTGCCTCCTACCGGCAATTAGGCGCCAAAAATACAAAAGCAAGCGCGCGCGCGCGCACGTAACTACAACTTTGAATGTGATTGGTTGATTTAAACTACAACTTTGAATGTGATTGGCTTATTGAACTGTGCGATAACAAACTGTCCGATAACAACTTGGCAAGTGAATTAGCGGAAAATAGGGGTTTTTTAAACCAATCACAATATATCGAGGAAATTGTAATTTTTATGATTAGTCAATTTATTTGTTCACCAATGACTAGGCAGTTTTTTGATACCAGTATTGTAGCATCAAGTGATAAAGAGTGGTTATAACGACTCATCAAAATCTAAGCGCTGAAAACTGTTTTGAGCCACCTTAAATTTTTTTGGGTATGATCGAAACATCTTCGGATCTTCTTCGAAAGTCTTCGGCAATCATGGGAAATTTTCGGAAAATGTTCGCAAACATCCGTGTGCCCATGTATTATCCTAATTTATTAAATGTTACGTACCTGTCGTTGAGTAAACGTTGAAGGGCATTCCTTGAGCATTCTGACCATTTTGAAGCATACTGGCCAGAGGGTAGCGGACTGTGCATGATATAGGCCTGTTCCGCGCAGGCACCAGAGTCGTGACCGAGGCCGAAACTGAAAAAAGGTGGTAAACAAAAACAAGTTCAATTCACTGCGAAAGCAAGTTCATAGAATTACAGATGATTTAAGCTTAAGATGGTTTGAGCCTAGGGGCCCATCAGAGCGGTGCTTATCTCTGGATTCTATAGCATGAAACGACAAGAGGTATTTCTGCTCCCCTCTGGATGGAACCAGAAAAATAAGCGCTCCATCGGCCTATCAGGCTCATTTGGTCTCGCCATGGGTATTTTAGCTGGACTATAAATCTCGCCAAAAAGAGAACCTTGGCTCAACCAAACTCCCCTGATATGCCGCCCAAGTGTACAAAAAGGTACGAATAGGTTGATTATTTTTTGTTGAACTTGACTACTGGGATAACCGGATTGGGGGGAGGAGGAGCGTCAACAAACTTTTAAATTTGTCCACTTACTTATGCCCCGTCTCGTGAGCGATGTGGAGGGCTGTCTGCAAACCGATATCCTGATTCACACTTCCAGCAGCCCTTTTACAAATCGAATTGATATTGGCGACAGCTGAAACGAATAACACATTTTCGTTGCTGTTGTCGTTCTTCAAATTTTACAAAGCACTGCCATTATCTACAATTCCTTAACATCCCACCCCACACCCCAACCCTTCCGAGCGGTGTATTTGAAAAGAGAAGATTTAGCTCGGCTAAATACGGAAGGTTTGAAGATGCTAAAGAGCAACAGCAATACAAGGCCTCTAAAACACTCCTTTCTTAGCTAAAAAGGAACGATGATTATAATCAAGTTATATAGCTTGAATTATAACTTCCTTTTTAGTTAAGAGCATTTCGATTTGTCTTAAGAAAACAGAAAATTGCAATAAATTAAACTCGCGATCGCGAAGATAACGCGACCAGTCTCGTGAATATTGCCAGGCCCGAGTAAAGGGGATATTACACGAGTAACATTGTTTTGTTATAAAATGTTAATACCTCATAGTATAACGCACTGGACAACTTTTAATGTAACTTATAATTGCGCCAACATGTTGCAGGTTTTGGAGTTCTTTCAAAAACCAACAACGCTGATGAACAAATTTTAAAAGTTACTTTAGAATGAATCGACTCGTAAAAAACTGTACCACAGTAAGTAAAGCGCTAGTAACGTGAAAAGGATATTCTTACCCCCTCCTGTAACTGCACTGAAAAATATAAATTAAAGAAACGAAAGATGTATAACAACGACAGAAGGCAAAGTCAATCCAGCTAATCAATACTCAAGTCGTTTACACAATCGATATTTCAAGAGTATGCACTGCACCAAAAGAAAATTCCCGCCTAGCCTACACAACGTACCCAAAAAGTATGCCTCCGGTAACAATGGAACTTAACTCAAAAAATGGAAGTCAGTCTTAAAATCATAAAAATAAAGTTAGACAATCTAGATTTGAAACCTCAAAGGGCAAATATGAATATCAGTCACCGTAGTTGTTCAGTTGGATCATCTGATACCACCACAGAATAGGCGATTTGTATGATGGCGTCATTTGACTAAAACTACCAGAATCCTTCAGCTATCCTGTTTCTTATGCTAATTAGGGCAATTGTTATTGAAACCCAATTGGGACTTTCACATTTGAATGATAAAGAAAAAACGAAAGGAATTCTGGTAATTGTAGTCAAATGACGACAACATCTGCTATTGGGTTCTTATAAGTACGGCTTATTGACCAAACGTGAGGTCAAGATAGCTGGATATTGCCCAAGGTCAATTTTTCCCTGGTTATGGAAAGAGACGAGGACGGTGTCTCTAATTAACAATTAGATTATGAGCTCGAGATTTCTATGAGGTGACGGAAGGCCGAATCACCTATCATCTCATAGAAATCGAGAGTGAATAATCTAATTGTTTTAGTAGAATTCTAACCGAAATTTTCTTCAAATAACGATTCCAAGTATTAAAATTTACGTTTCAGATAATTTGCGCGGACTAAATTGTAAATTTGGCATTAACAGATGTGTACGCGCGCTTATCATTTCTCTCAAAAATTTCGAGCTTTATTAGTTCAAGAAACCTAATCGCCCTTCTTTTACTCTTTTCAAGAATTTTGTTTATTCATTTGCTTCTAAATTTTCTTTGAAAACTTCGGAGAAACGAGGAAACGTTGCAATTTTGTCGGCCTCACCAATCCACTGCACACAAGTGGCTGATAGTGTGCAACGGCCATCAGCCATTAGTGTGCAATGGTGGAGGTCGTCTAGGAAATGGCGACGTTTTTTTCGTTTTTACAAAGTTTTGGAGGAAAATTTTGATGCAAATGGATAATAAATTCCTGAGAAGTCTAAACGAAGGACATTTCGCTCTCGATTTCTACTAGGTGATAGTTGATTCGGCCTTCGGCCTCATCAACTATTTTAAAATGTAAAGCGCTTATGAATATTTTATATAATTAGCGCTATATAAATTTAATTATTATTATTATTAAAATTCATCTGATAGTTAAATATCATAAAGAAGATGCTTCTTCAAGGGCATCTTTCTAGTCTAATCAGTTAGTTTATTTATTTAGTGTTGTAAGGGTAGATATCTCTTTTCCCTTGCGTAGGTGGTGTAAATAATGATATTAGAACATTTAAATAGAACTGAATTGGAATGTTGTTTTTTGGTCTTGTAAGTAGTTAGTAAGTGTACTTGACAGACACACCATGTTGTAAATAATGTTTGTATTTTGAAATAAAGCATTAAAAAAAATTATTATTATTATTATTTCTTGACCATCAGTTGCAACTATTTATGAACGCCAAATAGTTAGGTGAACTCACTTTGAGACGTAGGTGAAGACATCGTAGGCTACGTTTTGTGCTGTTATCTCAGCGTTCACCTCTCTAGCTATCTTCGTCAACTTGACGCCGTTACTTTGCTCTTGCGTAAATTTGTACTAGAATCCGGGCCAAAAAAAAAAGAAACATAGTTATTATAGTTTTTCCTGAACTGGTGTTCGATTGCTCAAACACATTATATTCGATTATAGCGGTTTTTAATTGAGCATTGTGAAACCAAAACCAAAATAATCTCTCTAACCAATCACAAACCACGCAGATAATCAAGTAACCAATCAAAACTTGAAGCAAATGCATGAGGACAGTGCAAAGCGCGAAGAAGCGTGTGCGTGCGAGACACCATTGGTCTTACTTCTGACTGGATGACAAAGTGGCGCGAGATATTCAGCCAATGGCGTAACATTGTAAGGCAAAATACGAATTACTTTCGACACTATTGTGAAAACCGTTTTAAGGTATGCACTGAGAAAACAGAAGCAAATGCAAAATCAACAGCGACTTGTCTTACTTACACGTTCCTGCATTTGATTTGTATTTGGCACTGACTTTTGATTGGCTCTCGTTTTTCTGCTTCCCATTGACTCGTTACATTTAGGGCCTGTTTACAAGGACGGAGGGTTACCCTAGCAAGCGGGTTAACCCTAGCTGGAGGGCAAAAGATAGCCCGGGTTACGAGCAAAATTTCACAGGTAGGGTAACCCTACAACCCGGGACAACTTAATGCGCGGTTACACTCAAAGGGTCTGGAAACAATTCGAAAGTTAACCCGGGTAGGGGGGTTAACGCTGCCTGGAGTGTTTACAAGGCAAAAAGTTAACCCGCTTTCCAGAGTAACCTTAGCACGCAGATAGGGTAACCCGCCTACCCGGGTAACCCTGGCTGCCTTGTAAAAACGACGAAGAAAAAAAGAGGAAATGTCTGAAAGCTAGGGTAACCCACTTGTTAGGTAACCCTCTCTCCTTTTAAACAGGCCACGTTCGGGCGCTGTCCATTCAACCAAAAATTCCAAAAATTCCGAAAATTGAGAAACGGGGACAAATGGTACGGAACTTTCCGAAAAGTGAAATTCCGGAAATTCAAATGCAAAGGAAATTTTCGGTAAGAAATTTTTGGATATTTGGTAATAGCTCGCGAGGTTGCCCTCTTTTCTGGAAATTATGGAAAACGCTGTTCCATTCTACACTGGAAATTTTCGGAAATGCAAATTGGAATTTCGGACGAATGGAATGCTCTATACTAAACGAAAACTTGATCATCTAATAGTATTCAAGTGGAAATTTCCAATTGTTACATACTTTTGCTGGCTGAATTATCTTGATTTCGGTGACCACGTAAGTAAGTTTTATCTCCCCAATTGAAGCATCTTGAAACAAACCAGCAACCTATAGGAAAAGGGATAAATAATTAAAATGCTAAGAACGCAGCTGGAACATACGATGCACCTGGTACTTTTGTGCGTAACATTTCCCAGTAATTTCTAGCAGTTACACTTCAACTGGTCAATACCACCACTCTTCATCGAGTGATGTTACGATATAGGTACCACACAAATACTCAGTGACTGGTTAACATCTTTATAGCATAAAAGGTTACCATAGCAACAGTACAACCTGTTAAAAGTACCCTTATAAGTGATGGAAAGATCTGGAAACTGTTTTCTCAAACTCGTTAATAATTTATCAAGTTAAAACAAAGAAAATCACAACCGTGAAGGAGGTTTGGATATCCAATCTTAATTAGCATAGATTTTGACGATTTTACTCCTCCGTTTACTGCTTAGTTTTTGCTTCGATTGAGAAGATATATCAAACACTCGAGAAAGTGTTTCATCGGCTATCCAAACACCTCGAATTTCGTCAAAAATACTCCGCTGC